TTGCCTAATTATGAGTATTAATAGGCTAAATCCCACCTTTCTTTTACCTTAATCCTATCAGTTTCCTAGCATGTGTGCTATCTGTTTTAATTTATTTGTATGATTTTAATTTAATACGAAATTAAAAAAATTGAATTTTATTACTTAAATTAAAGATGTGTAGAATTTATTGTTATTACAGCTTATTTGGATGATTGTTATCGATTCTTTTAAATATAATATTTATTTTTAATATTATTTCAAGTTTATTGTATCTTATTGTTAAATTTATCGATAGACTCATTCTGGTGTAACCATCGATTTGATTACGTTGTTGTCCCTTTTTTTAAAAAAAAAACTTTACTTATTACTATATTTAATTTAATAATCTATATTTTTATGATAGTTTTATCTTATACCCTACTTTTTCGGTATATTTATTCTTTAAATTATTAATGTGTCACACCATATAAGAATAGAAAATACTATAATCTATTTAAACATTATATTTTTAAATATTATAATATAATATAATAAATAATCATCGAGCAGAACGTTATATGATTCATGAAAATTTGAAATTAAACAATTCACAAGAAATATATATATATATATAACGAAATAAAAATATATAGATAAATAAATTAAAACGAAAGCACAATTTTTCTTTGCCAAGTGCCAAAGAGGTCCACATTTGTTATTTTGACAATTGCTTGTAGAGTTTTGACAAGGTACTCCAACCCCTTTAGATTGAATGCAGTGCTAATTTTTTTTTTGTACCTAAACTTTACCTACTTTAGAGGTGGCATTAATATCCCAAATAATTAAGAAAAAATCTTCACACCAATTTCCAATTAACAGATAAGGTACATATTTAACTGATCGATTAAATAATTATATTTTTGCTTATTAAATATATAAAAGATATACTATATATATAATTTTTATTTTGATAAATAATTATTTATTTTAAAATAGCAGAAGAAATTACTTATGACATGAGTGTGTGAGTCAGCTTCATTGTATATTAGCCATCATACGGACGAAAATTCTTCCGTGACGGAACTTCTAAGGAATTCCTTTTTCTTTCTTTGGAGATAATATTTTTAAAAAAAAATCTTTTTATCACGTTTTTTTATATATATATTGCTTAAATCAGTGATGGAATTACCCATTTTGGCAAAAAATAAAAATGAAAAAATGTATAAGAATGTCACACCTATAATTTGTGATCAAATTTATATAATATAATATCTTAATATACTCCATTTGTTCCAAAATTAGTTATTAGGTTTCCTTTTAAATATTCAATTTCATTCATTTTCAAAGATCATTTAGATTAGACAATATTTTATATTTAAAATTTAGATATTCAAAAATTATATAATAAATAGTATTACTTTCGTTTTAATTTGTCTTATTTTGATTTGGCACAAAGTAATTAAAGAAGAGTTTTAAATTTGTATAGTCTTAAATTAAAGATATGTTATATGTACCAAAATGTCATTTAATCTTGTGATCTTGAACATGTCACCTGAAAAGTTGGAAGGAAAGAGTTACTAAAAAAGAAAAGATGCATTTTTTAAAACAGATTAAAAAGGAAAGTTAAACAAATAAATTGAAACAAAGAGAATACAAATTGTAAATTTTCCGATGTTAATATCTTGATACGATGAAAAAACATATTTTAAAATAATAATTACTCCTAAAATTTATATAATCTAATTCTTATTAAGTGAAATATGACAAATAATATGAGATAAAGCAAGTATATATATATATATATATATATATATATATATATATATATATATATATATATATATATATATATATATATATATATATATATATATATATATATATATATATATATATATATATATATATATATATATATATATATATATATATATATATATATATATATATATATATATATATATATATATATATATATATATATATATATATATATATATATATATATATATATATATATATATATATATATATATATATATATATATATATATATATATATATATATATATATATATATATATATATATATATATATATATATATATATATATATATATATATATATATATATATATATATATATATATATATATATATATATATATATATATATATATATATATATATATATATATAAACGTTATTCTGATCTCATTTTGTCTTACGTGGAGGTGAGGTGATACTTGATATATTAGTATCAACTTTCAAATCCAAATATCGTTGTTATCTCGTACACCAACGTTTTTTTTGTTTCTCTCCGGGTGTTTGAAGCCCACATTAGAGCTCCGACTAAATTTAGATCGCACACTGCAAAATTCATTCGGAGTGGTGTTCCCAACAAGATTTTCTCCGAACTCGAACTCGAGACCTCCATTTCATTTATTTTCATTAATAAATGAAAGTTGCACATTAATGGAATTAACTGTTATTTTTTTAATTATGTTTAGGCTATATACTAGCTAATTAGATCATGGCCCGATGTCTATCTTGAGCCAATAATTAACGTGTTATATTGGAGGTATTGAGACCAATAAACAGTAGCCAGAAGAAAAATACTTTTTGTGAGAAGCAATTCATGCTTGGAAAATAAATTTAAAAAGTATTTTTGAGTAGTAATTAATCAAGTTTTAAAAAAGTATTTTTAAGTGTATTTTTTTTCAAAAGTAATTTATTTTTTTAGCTTCTGAAAAACAATTGATGTTACTCCCCCAAATACTTATTTTCTCTCAAAAACTTGAACAAACACTGAACTTTTTAAAAAATAAACAATTTTAGCTTCTTGAAAATTTGATCAAACAAATTATAAATCTTAGTATTAAAATATGATTAACCCATCCAACTTAAACGTATGTTTAGACTTTAGCTACTTCCCACAATCCACATCCTAGATAAGGTGGGGCAAATTTAGTTCAATTTTATAATTTATTTCGGTAACGTTGAAATTATGTTTTTTTTTATTAATCTTTTGGACGTGCATGAATTGCGCCACTTTACCGCATTTCATGGATTTTAAATTTTTGTTAATTTAAATATTTACGCAAAGAGAAAAAGGTTTTAGATTTACCTTTTAAACTCTGTCAAATGGTTTACCTTTGTCCTCCGTTCAAAATATTACTTATCCTTAATTTGCTAATTAAAATATTTGTATGAAGAGAAAAACTCATTTATTTTTTTAGAAAAAACATTTTCCATCATATTGAACAGACAAACACCTGCATGGTGGTCAGGGTGTCCTTTTTTTTTTTTAAATGTGGTCATGGTGTTCAATTTCGACACCCTTTGTCGGAATAAAATATCATTTATACAAGTAAAATGAGATGCGAAATAATTAAATAACATATTTTGGACACTCTTAACACAACAAATTATTGTAGCCCGATAATTTCAAATATTTGTAATGAGATAGTACTTGCGTTTTTGAATCTCACTAGTTTTACTTTTTGAAAAGAGCTTTTGTCATGCCTAAAAGTTCTTCGGTTTGATAAACAAGAAGGACTATTAGCACTTCACGAATCAAATAAGGATGAATTAATTATATACATGCCCAAAAATAAAGTACTAGTTTAGGTCTTCTTTTCTTTGATGTATAAAGTAAAAGTAAAACCAAAAATATTAGGCCGAATAGATCAATTTTTTTCTGAATTTGGCGAGTTTTATTCCGTGCATATCTAAATCTTATGTTAGCTTAATTATCTTTTGAATTTGGTAATTTGATAGCTTCGATCTTTCTAGACGTTGTGGCAAAAAGCGTGAATATACTCTTTTTTTAGTCAGGAGAAAAAATAAAATTCAACTTTCAAGTAGGATATTTTTCAACTATTAATTGCCACATAATTAATATAAAGATTTATTTGTTCTAATGGTAATACTCTTGTTCTTTTAAAAAATATACATCGCATATTGTATCCTGATTTTTTATTTAGATAAAATGATTATTTGTTTCAACTATATGTATATTTATTTTTGGATCCAAATATTAGTTAAAAGTTTATTTATTTTAGACAAATTAAAAGGACATTTAACCAAATTAATGAAGTTCAAATGGTGTTTTTTAATAAAAAGAAAAAAATTGTGTATTATTTTTCAATGATTTTATATTTCAACTACGTATATTTAATTCTTCTTTGGATATATAGTTATTGTTCTAAATATGTATATTTCTTTTCTTGGCCAAGTATATAGAACGTAGGGAATTTGATTAGAATATCATTATCTTTAATTAAATAAAAAATTATAATCAAAATATTTATTTCAGACTTTTTTTTGTTTTACAGATTTTGGCCAAAGAAAAAAGATGATTTTAAAAGATAAAACATAAATTTTATCTTTATAAAAATCTTACATGGACCAGAAAACTCACGTATCAGCGTATGTGTCACACTTTCACAAGTTTTCAGCATCCAAATTAGCCGTGACTATTTAAATTATCTACGTTAAGCGGATAATTAAGCTAACATAAAGTTTTGAGGTTTTTGAATTTGATTTATTCAACCATTATTAACTAGTATAGTGCCAAGTCCATGAGGCATCAACTAACATGCAGCTTTTCATGTGACTACATTTTCTTTTGATGACTATTTATCTCCTTATAATTCTCCTTGAATTTCGATATTAACATCCTAAAATCCATATATATAACAATTTTAACATTCATCACAATATTCTAACTCACACTAAATCTACATTTTTTTTATTTTTTCAACCATGGCAAAACAGCCCACTAGAGTTCTTGTCACTGGAGCTGCTGGTATAATTATTATTTTTTAAATTAACCATTATTATGTTCTAATTTTTTGGTATAATTGTATGAGGTTCTTTTCTTGACATGGATGAGTTACTATTCTATTTCATAGCTTGTGGATTTTGTCTTTGGTATTTGATTTGATTGGGTTAGTTAGGTGCCTTGTCTTTAAAGTCTTTTGCTGTTCTTGTGTGAAATTTTCCTTTAAATTATGTATGTGGTATCATTTTAACAGTGTCTAATTTCAATTATTTGTGAATTTTCTTCTTAATTATAAAATTAATGGAATATTGGGGTTCAATTGAAAAGCCTATTGTTTTGTTGGGTTGTGCATATTTGTCATGGAAGATTGTTAGGCATATATGGAGCTTCTTGAATATAGAAAAGGATCCTATTACAGTGCTTGTTACTGGTGCTGCAGGCATGTTAAATTTATATTTCATTATGTTACTGCATTTTTTTTGTGAACTTTTTATTTGATTTATTCTGTCTTGGTGGCGGTGAATTCAATCTCAGGTCTTCTGTTTGTTGTGATACCATGTTGAAGTGTACTATCAGTGTAATCATCTCATCTAAAAGTTTAAGATGTTAGCTTCAAGAAGGAATTGAATTGAAAATCATGTCAATTGTCTTATATCTGAAAACTAAAATTGTCAAAACTGTATATATGTTGATGCTTCCTGTTGGTTTGAACATCTTGTAACAGGTCAAATTGGATATGCTCTTGTTCCGATGATCGCGAGAGGAGCCATGTTAGGCCTTGATCAACCTGTTATCATACACATGCTTGATATTGAACCAGCTGCTGAGTCCTTAAAAGGAGTGAAAATGGAATTGATTGATGCAGCTTTTCCTCTTCTCAAAGGTAAAATGCAGTAAGAGATAAACCACTTTTTTCTTAATTTCTTACATTGTTAATTAAATTTATTGTTCCACAGATGTTGTTGCTACCACGGATGTTGTTGAAGCTTGTAAAGGCGTCAATGTTGCTGTTATGGTTGGTGGATTTCCACGAAAAGAAGGGATGGAAAGAAAGGACGTGATGACGAAAAATGTTTCAATTTACAAGGCACAGGCCTCTGCCTTAGAGCAGCATGCTGCCCCTGATTGCAAGGTAACAAAACTTTGTTATTCAATTATCTCTGTAACATTACAGTTTAATCGTGGTCTCGAATTGTTGCAGGTTTTGGTTGTTGCTAATCCAGCTAACACCAATGCACTTATTTTGAAAGAATTTGCCCCTTCCTTTCCAGCGAAAAACATCACCTGCCTAACAAGGCTTGATCACAACAGAGCTTTAGGTCAGGTTTCGGAGAAACTAAACGTTCACGTTGGTGATGTAAAGAATGTGACAATATGGGGAAATCACTCATCAACTCAGTATCCAGATGTGAATCATGCAACGGTGAAAACCGCTGCTGGAGAAAAGCCTGTCAGAGAACTTGTTGCTAATGATCAATGGTAAATGCTCTACAGTTAAGTCTTTCATATTTTTCGTTCTAATAAGAAGATCAAATCAGTACTAATATAAAAATGTTAGGTTGAACACGGAATTCATCACCACAGTGCAACAAAGAGGAGCCGCTATCATAAAAGCTCGAAAGCTATCAAGTGCATTGTCTGCAGCTAGCTCAGCTTGTGATCATATACGTGATTGGGTTCTCGGCACTCCAAAGGTTAAGTATCATCCATTTTTGTTACTCACTCTAATTAAAATGGGTCACCTCCTGACAACAATTTTATCAGTTATGCCAAGGCTTCCCTTCCGTATACTACTTACCTCTATAAAATGCATGTCATTTCTCTATTGGGCTAAATTTTTGTTACATGTTTTGTTCAGGGGACATGGGTTTCAATGGGGGTCTATTCTGATGGATCTTATGGCATTCCAGCTGGTTTAATTTACTCTTTCCCTGTTACTTGTGAGAAAGGAGAATGGTCAATTGTGCAAGGTTAGTTTCTGGTCTCATTTATGATCAATTACATACTTCAATAATTGGGACAGTAAAAGAGTACATTAGAGATATACTCATATAATTAAGGATATTAAGAATGTCTTTCTTAAGGAGTAGCCTAAAGTTTTAAAAGACAAATAATATGAACCGAAGGGAGTATCTATTGTTTAAAGCTTGCCTAAAGATCCTCATCGTTGATGCAGGTCTAAAGATAGACGAGTTTTCAAAGGCCAAGATGGATGCAACCGCGAAGGAGTTGGTTGAGGAAAAATCCTTGGCGTATTCATGCCTAAACTAAAATCGCGATTAATTCTGCTCATCAAGGGAAATAAACATTGGAAGATGAATGAAATAAATGGAATTTCAATTTATTTTTACGTACTAATATGTTGAATCATCTTTTTACTTTATAAAATATGATTCCTTGTCTCTTTTTTCTTTCTCTCTTGTATAACCAAACTACTCTTTTTTATTTTCCGATGCGCAATCTGAAAAGTTGAATACTATATTCTGCTTAATTACTTTTGAGTTCTGAATCTCATAAATTCCTATGATACCATGAAGAGATCAAAGCATCAAATATTGTTTTCGTTAAAATTGACATATGATGTTTCCTAGCCATCAAACGAGAGTTATTACACCTTTGCATTTATAAAATTAAAATTCTTTGAGTAAATACATTTTAAAAAACAGAAAAATTGGGTGAGAAGTAAATGGTTCCACCACACAATAAATTCACAAGAGTCGTATACAATATATCAAAATAGGAGAAAGAACTCATGCAATGTTGTGTATAATTCTGTTACTGTAAACTAGGGATGTTCACATTTTCGGTAAAAATCGAACCAAGTCGATTAAATAAATTAATTTTATCTGGATTTGGTTTTATATTTATTAAAAACGATAATATTTGGTTTGATTTTGCTAAACAATCAAGAAATAATTGAATCAAACCGACAAATTATATACATATTTTTTATAACTATGTATATATAATATATTATTTTTTATGAACAATTTTAAATATTTTATATATCTTCTCATAAAAATTGAATTATGAAAGTAAAAAAGTAGGGCTGGGCATAAATACCGAAAAATCAAAATACCAAATCAAACCAAATTTTTTTGGTATTTCGGTTTCGGTTTTTGGTATATGTTTTCACATTTTCGGTATTTCGGTTTGGTTTTCGATATGTATTTTTGTATTTTTTGGTATTTTGGTTTAACCAAAGTATACTCCCGTCCACTTTTATTTGTCATGTTGTGCTTTTCGAAAGTCAATTTGACTAATTTTTAAAATTAAATTAGATTATATTAATTCGATATTTAAAACAAAAAAAATTAGATATTCAAAAAATATACGAAAAGTACTATAAATTGCAATTTTTTGCATATCAATATGATAAAAAATACATGGTAAAATGTTAGTCAAAAATTTTATAATTTGATTCTAAAAAAGGAAAATATGACAATTAAAATTGGATCGGGTAATATTATACTATTATAATATATATTAATATTATATTAATTATTAATATTAAATAATAGTAAATATTATAGGCAAACAAAATGCAAAAATAGGTCACCACTGTCCACTTTTCAGCAATCAGCAGTGCACCGCCGCACTTCCCTTCCCACTTCCGGCCGACCGCAGCGAACCAGCGGCAGCGACCAGCAGCAGCGAACCAGCGGCAGCGACCAGCAGCAGCCAATCAGCGGCAGCGACCAGTCCAGTCCAGGTATGGTATTTGATTATTTTTTGTTTTCTTGATTTCTGTTTTCTTCTTCCGTTTACTTTTTTTTTTTTCTGATTTTGCTTTAGTTAGTTTGTGAATTGTGAAATTAATTTTTTTTTCTATATAGATGGCTGATCAAAATCCAAACTAACAAAAACCGAACCGAACCAAAATAATTCGGTTCAATATTTGGTACAACAAATGCAAGAACCTGTTACATGAAAAAGAGATTTTCATATATTAGTTAGTGATAGAAGTAGTTACAGTTAGTTAGTTAGTTAGTTAGTTAGTTAGGCACAGAAATCGAAATAACAGAGTTAGTTAGAATTGAATCCATTTCAGTTGTATTTCAATTCTATATAAAATGTAATACAGTTCCATACAAGATATGAAATATACAGTTCATTCTTCACTCTTATTCTCTCTACTTCCATGCATCTCCATTGATTGTATTCTCGAGTTCTCTCCTGAACAATCTATCTATCCTCGAATCCTTGAGATTCCTGCAATCGAATCACTATCCAGTAACATTGGTATCAAAGCTTAACGTTCCTTGGCAACGATGGCGAAAGGAAGTCGACCAGTTGGGGAAACAAATAATGACAATTCTGTAGCAGAAATTGGGGATTTACGGGATATGATGCAAAATTTGGTAATAGAGATGGGGAATTTAGCTGGTAAGGTCTCATCCTTGGAGAAATTAGATCATGCAGTGATGGAATTGAGGAATCAGATTTCAGCAGAAAATCGCAGGGGTACTGTTCCATTGGGACAGGAGGGTGTTTCTGATGGAAATGATGGTTTAGGGGTTCCTAGGGAAAGGGAAAGAAGTCCTCGCACATGTAATAATTCCCAATCTCACCAATCGAACTTCAATAGGTGGTCACGAATGGAGTTCTTGAGGTTTTAGGGGGAAGATCTTAGGTCATGGTTGTTCAAAATTGATCAATTCTTTTCCATAGAGAATGTTGGTCATGACGAGAAAGTTACAGTTGCAGCTCTGCAATTGGAAGGGGAGGCCATCCAATGGCATTTGTCATTCATGCGATATAGACCATACTTACAACCACCCAATTGGGGTGACTATGTGAGGGCATTGGTTGATAGATTCGGTACTGATTTTGATGATCCCATGGAGGAAATCAAAAAGATCAAGCAAGTTGGTAGTGTAAAGGATTATCAGTCGGTGTTTGAGAGAAACTTGACAAGGGTGAATTTGTCACAAGGGTATGCTATTAGCTGTTTTATTGGGGGTCTGAAACCTGAGTTGAATATTGCTGAAGATCACCAATCCTACTTCATTATCTCAGGTGTACAGGAGTGCAAGAATGCAGGAAGCATACCTGCAGGCGGTGAGGCAACCTGACCATAATCAACCTCAGATGCATACAAGGAAGTTCTTGGACCAAAGGAATTTTACTAGTAAGCTTCTTTTACCTACTCCAGGTAGCAATAATTCCAGCTTTTCTAAAGGAGTCGGTAGAAGAACTGTGAGCTTAGAGGAGATGAATGAAAAATGGGCCAAAGGGTTGTGTTATTTTTGCTCTGAAAAATACACGCCAGGACACAAGTGTAAAACTTCTAAACAGTTATATTTGTTGGAAGTGGATGAAGGGGATGAGTTGCAGGATTCAGTAGAGGATCAAGGGAATATCTTGCAAGAATCACAGAGTGACACGTTAGATTTTGGGCAACCTGTGGAGCACATGGAGATCTCAATGCATGCTTTAAATGGGTCATTAGGTTTTAGGACTTTGAAAGTAACTGGGTATCATTCTAAAATGGCATTACATATCCTCATTGACATTGGTAGCTCTCATAATTTCATAGATCCTGGTTTAGTCAAGCAGTTAGGGTGTGAGGTGAAGTCCATTAACACTGAGGTGGTTGCTGCAGCTAATGGAAGTATGAAGGTGGACAAAATGACTACTGTCACTTGGTTGCTACAGGAAGCCGGGTTTGTAGCTGACTTTCTACTACTTCCACTAGGTTCATGTGGGGTTGTGTTGGGGGTTCAGTGGTTGTTAACATTAGGTGATATCAAGATGAATTTCAGGAGTTTAACAATGGAGTTTTGGTACAAGGGTAGAAAGCATTTACTCAAGGGATCTAGCAGTCAAGTATTAACTTCTAGTGCTGGAAGATTGTCCAAACACTCAGGAAATTAATCCCAACTTTGCATGATTCAGGTAGTCCCTCAAGGGAGTGATGAAATGAAGGAGCATGCATTGGAAAATGACAAACAGGATGAGGAAAATCCTGCATTATTGGAGGTATTATCAGAATTTTTTGCTCTATTTGACGATCCTGTTGGTTTACCACCTTCTAGAGGTATATTTGATCATAGAATTGTACTACAATCTGGTGTGGAGCCTGTGAATAAGAGACCCTATAGATATCCTTCAGTAAAAAAGGATGCTATTGAGGGTCTAGTACAACAAATGTTGGATCAAGGGATTATACAACCTAGTTGTAGTCCTTTTGCGTCACCAGCTGTGTTAGTAGGCAAAAAGGATGAGTCATGGAGGTTATGTGTAGATCATAGGGACTTGAATAAGTCTACTATCAAGAACAAGTTTCCGATTCCTATAGTGGAGGACCTATTGGATGAATTGGGAGGGTCCAAGATATTCTCTAAAATAGACTTAAGGTTTGGATATCATCAACTACGAATGGCTAATGAGGATGTGCCTAAAACTGCTTTCAGAACTCACGCTGGGCATTTCGAGTACTTGGTCATGCCCTTTGGATTGTCAAATGCTCCAGCCACATTTCAAGGATTAATGAATTCCGTGTTCCAGCAATTTCTAAGGTAGCATGTATTGGTATTTTTTGATGATATATTGATATATAGTAAGACCATAGAAGATCATGTATTGCATTTGAGGTCTGTCTTTTTGAAGATGGTGGAGCACCAGTTATTTGCTAGAAAAAGTAAATGTTTCTTTGGTGTTCGAAGGATTGAATACCTAGGTCACTTTATCACAACGGAGGGTGTGCGGAGGGTGTGTCTACTGATCCTCAGAAGATCAAAAGCAGTTAAAGGTTGGCCTGCCCCAACTACTCTTAAGCAGCTGAGAGGGTTCTTAGGCTTAGCTGGTTATTATAGAAGGTTCATCCAAGGGTTTGGGATGATTAGTTGACCTCTCAATGATCTTACAAAGAAGGATAAGTTCAAATGGAATTCCACAGCTCAACAAACCTTTGTACAATTGAAAGAGGCACTAACTCAAGCACCTGTCTTGGCTTTGCCTGATGCAAGCAAGACTTTTATTGTTGAAACAGATGCTAGTGGCTATGGGATAGGGGCTGTGCTTATGCAGGAAGGGCATCCTATAGCTTTTATTAGTAAAGCTTTGTCTCCCCGGCATGCTGCCTTATCAGTATATGATAGGGAGTTATTGGCAATTGTTCAGGCCGTTACTAAGTGGTCTCAATACTTACTAGGTCAGAGGTTTGTTATTAGGACTGATCAGAAAGCCTTAAAGTTTCTTATGGAGCAAAAGTTGCATACTAATTCTCAATTGTTGTGGTTGACTAAGCTCATGCCATTTGATTACTCTATTGAGTACAAAAGGGGCATTGAGAACAAAGTAGTTGATGCACTTTCTAGAGTGACTGGAGCTGAATTTCTGGCTTTGATAATTTCACCTACTAATATTGATCTTTTTCAAGCTATAGTGGCGAGTTGGCATTCAGATCAGGAGTTGCATCAGTTAATCACCGAGCTACAGGCGGATCCTACTTCCCACAGCCAATTCACTTGGTTACAGGGTCAGTTGAGAAGGAAAGGGAAGCTTGTGATTGGAAATGTATAGAGCTTGAGGACTGACATTATTACCTTGTGGCATGCTGGCCTCTTGGTGGTCATTCAGGAGTTGAAGCTACCCTCAAGAGATTGTTGACACTGTTTTATTGGAAGAACATAAGGACGGAGGTGAAGGAATTCATTCAAAAATGTGATGTATATCAAAAGAACAAGTCTGATTTGGTTGCATACCCTGGTTTGTTACAACCCTTGCCAATTCCTGAGGTAGTTTGGTCTCAAATCAGTATGGATTTCATTGATGGTCTTCCTAAGTCTAAAGGGCATGAGGTGATTTTGGTGGTGGTTGATAGACTCAGCAAATATGGTCATTTCCTTCCCTTGAAACACCCTTATACAGCTCAATCAGTTGCTCAAGTTTTCTTGGATACCGTTGTCCGACTCCATGGTCTTCCAGATGCTATTACTAGTGATAGAGATGCTGTTTTTTTGAGCTCCTTCTGGCAAGAGCTCTTTACTCTGCAAGGTGTATTGTTGAATACCTCTACGGCTTATCATCCTCAGTCTGATGGACAAACTGAGGTGTTAAACAGATGCTTGGAAACCTATTTGCGATGCTACTGTAATGATGATGCTTCAAATTGGTTAGCTTGTTTACCTATGGCTGAGTACTGGTATAATACTTGTTTTCACTCAGCCATTCAAACAACCCCTTATGAGGCTTTATATGGTCGACCCCCACCCCTCCATCTTCCTTATGCTTCTACTGAAGTTGACACTACGTTGGTGAATATAGAGCTCAAGTTGCAGCTACTGAAACAGCACTTACTAAGAGCTCAGCTTCGGATGAAGCAACAGGCAGACTCTCATAGGAGTGATAGACAATTTTCTGTTGGAGATTGGGTTTATTTTAAAGTGCAGCCTTATAAACAAGCTACAATATCTCAACACTCTTCCCACAAGCTAGCTGCTAAGTATTATGGCCCATTTCAGATCATCAAGAGAGTTGGTCCGGTGGCTTACACCCTCCTTTTGCCTAGTTCAGTGAAGATACACCCTACTGTGCATGTGTTATTGTTAAAGAGGTGTTATGGGGTTCCTTCCTCCATTTCTTGTCCTCCTACTGTTGATTTGGCTAATCCAAATTGTCCTGGTCCTGAATCTGTTTTGCAAAGAAGGATGGTTAAGAGAGGCAACAAAGTTGTTGCTCAGGTGTTGGTTAAATGGGTTGGACTGCTACTGATGTTGCCACTTGGGAATTTGCTACTGTCCTGAAGACATGATTTCCTTCTTTTGATCCTTGAGGTCAAGGATCTTTTGTATGGGGAGTACTCTTACATGAAAAAGAGATTTTCATATATTAGTTAGTGATAGAAGTAGTTACAGTTAGTTAGTTAGGCACAAAAATCAAAATAACAGTTAGTTAGAATTGAATCCATTTCAGTTGTATTTCAATTCTATATAAAGTGTAATACAGTTCCATACAAGATATGAAATATACAATTCATTCTTCTCTCTTATTCTCTCTACTTCTATGCATCTCCATTGATTGTATTCTCGAGTTCTCTCCTGAACACTGTCGATTCTCGAATCCTTGAGATTCCTGCAATCGAATCACTATCCAGTAACATAACCAAAAGTAGCCCTTTTCCATTTTATGATTGAGTATCAGAAACGAGTTTAAATTTAAAATCTGAATTCTGAAATTGTATTTAGGGATGACAAAATTAAATTTAACCCGTTTGCTGATCTGCTCATTCATTAGCTCAACCCATTTCAATCCTTTAAAAATTGGGTTGATAGGTAACTTAAATTGGCTTATAAAAAATCTTGTCGAACAACGATGACCCGCCCAAATTTGATTTCCGACCAGCCCAATTGCCACCTAACTTTAAACCCTTTCTCGTAAGGGATAGAAGAGAAGAACAACTGTCGAACCTGCGCCTTGCTGGTATTATCTTTTGGGTTTTTAGGAAGATTTCTCGATTAGAGTTTGCTTTAGGAGAAATTGATGTGGTCCTTCGTAAATTTGTTCGTTTTTCTAAAAAAAAATTCCTGTTGAAAAATAAGCAAAATTAGTCTAGTATGTTTTAATTAATTAGCTACAAGCTTTATGTTATGCCTCTGGTTATGTTTTTTTTCCAAGTTTTGGTTGTAAAACCAGATGGAATAGACTAGTATTGGTTGTTTATATTAGTTAAACTATTGTTGTGATTTAGATTTATTGTTTGATCGTGGTATGGTGTAATGTTCGTATCATATAATTGTTCTTGTGTTTTAATTGATAATTGCTAAATGATTAAAATTAAAACAAAGGAAAGATCAATTACAAAACATGGGTGACTAATGTAACCCGGTATACAACCCGTTTATAACCTATATATTAAACATGGGCAGGTTCAAGCCAAACCATTTTTTCTCAACCCACCCATTTGCCATCACTAGACTTATAAGACCAGTATGCTTTTGGTCCTTTCAGAGTTTGAGCTTAATGTGATGTATACTTTCATTGTATCACTACCCAGAATAGTTAACCCTTGTTATTTGATCTATATGTTGTGGGGGTAAAATATGAAAAGTATATATAACATGGATATTGATGTATGTTTTTGTCATGTTAGAAAGTTCTACAGCGCCAGTTTTTGCTCTTTGAGCAAGTAATGATGTGGTTCAATGTGTCAATTACCAGCATGTATGAGATTCTTTAACGAAATGTTTCTATAACATTACATTGATATGAGATTCTTTTTCTCTCACCATAATTATTTTTTTGTGGATTTAATTAGGTCATTGGGAGATTTTAAAGTTATAATAATCTCCATTTTACTATCATCCATTTATAGTGTTACAAATAAGGTAATCAGAGATTGGAAGTGCTACACTTGAACTTCCTTCTATACTATTATTTTCTTTTTGGCCCAGAAGTTGGGATGATGACTTCGTCACTTGCATCTGCATTTCATTTAAAACTATAATATTTTTTTCTTGCAATAATTTATCAGATGAATTAGTTTGTGGAAATTTGAGGACACTCATAATTGTTTAGTGTTTTGTAGAGATCAAATGGACGACTCGATGAAGCAATTACAAGAAAAGCTTATTGAGGTTGAAATTGAAGGTGAAAGTCTTTTATTAGCTCGGCAACAGGTACTTGAAATGCCCTCTAGGTTGAAGCATTTTTTTTTGTTCAAATGTATAAGAAAACTATGTGTAATGCAATGCAGTTAGTTGAAAATGATAGATTAAGGAATGGGAACAGGGAAGCATTAACTGCACTAAGGAGGAGGGCTAAGACGACAAAAACAAGTGTTCCTACACCTTTTGAGTCAATAATGAGGGATGTTGAATCAAGACCATTGGTGAAAGAGGTTTGTCCAACCTGTGGTAATCATGATTCAAAGGAGAAGACTTGGGTCATGTTCCCAGGAACTGATGTATTTGCCAATATTCCTTTTCATGCTGCTCATACCATTCTGGAGAAAGGTTTCTTTCTTGCTACATTTATTTTGTGTATCTTTATTACACAGTATGCGCCATTAACACTCTCTTTATGATCTTTATGCAAAAATAGTTCCTTTGTATTATCTAATCACAATCAGTTATACATGAATGCATGAGGAAGAAGCTTCCGTATATGAAACATGTGCTATTTCAGACTGAAGCTTTACAAGTAAAGAGGGGCAGTTTATTAAAATAATTGGCTAATATAAGTTATTTGAGGTGTACACAGCCTTGAGAGTTGAGACCTTTTTCCCCTCACAGATTTAGTGGAGATAAAAGTGAATGCAAAGAGTTTCAAGTGAGGTTGCTCCAGTGACATGAGCCATTTCTAACCAAGAGGGTGGGAGTTCGCATCACCAAGGGAACAAAGTGGAAGGGGCCACTGTTGACTCTTGAGGGAAGGGGGTTTCGAATGGGGTTTATCGTACCAGGGAAGAAAAAAGAAGATTACTCTTGAGCTCAGGAGGTTTCGAGTGGGGTTTATCACATTAGAGAAGAAAAAGTAGAACACAGAGGTTTTTTTTAAGCATGACTATTAATATTAGGAGTAAAGAATAATAATAGGCTAAATCAATGATGCATGATCTTTACCGAACTTCCTACCAAGTAGGGGTTTCACCTAGAGGAATAACATTATTTGGATGATAATGAGGCAACTAAGAGAACTGAAATTCAAAAAGTAAAATAGAATAGAGATGAAGAAGACAAGAGAATAGAAATCAAGAACTCCAAGAATGAGAAAATAGGCAACAACTAGTATTAAAGAGCTAATCACCTCCTAAATATCCATACAATTGAACAAAGACGTAAAGATGAGTAGCAGATTACTTACAAACTAATCACTCATTTGAAGAAAACTTTGACAGTCATAGAACATAGGATTCCTCCTTGCGTAACAAGTCCAATTATCATCTAAAAACTAAGACACTAATAAGAATTGTGGCCCATAAAATAGATCTTAAAACAAAAATAATCTGGGATCGACAACTAGGTAGGCAGGCTGCTGGCTGGGCCTTCAGGGCCAGGCATAGCCTTTGGCCCTCTGCTTCTCTCTGACCCCTCCCAGCTTGCCACTTGGGTCTTCCTTTGAGTCCAGCTCGTCGTATTGGCTCTGTGATATCCTCTGAACTCATTTTTTGGTGGTCTAACTACTATACAAACCCCAGGTTAAGTGTTGTACCATCCTTTATGCTTCCACACTTTATTTCAAGTAGTTTAAGTCCTTGTAAGCTTCTTCTTTGACATCTCCAAATATATACATCTTCTCAACATCAAATGCAAGTCATGGAGTACTTTCGCTTGTGATCTGGTGATTGCTTTTTGTGATGCCGCCCTCCACTGAGTTAGATCCCTTGGTACCGAGGCCGTTACCGGGGGGTGAGTGACCGTGAACATGTTCTTACAGAAGAGAGCGATATGTGGGACCAATATATACTTTTGAGCTGAGAAAATGATGATCATTTGGGGCCTTATTTGAGACTCTTGAGGTATTTGTGAGAAAGTACTGTGATAGTGAGTATATGGGCAGAGGAAAAATCAGGAGATGAAGGGTAGAAGAGTCAGGTGTCGGAGAGAGATCCATTATTTTCTAGTAATTACCAATTATGTTGAAACATGAATGATATATAAGCTTTTATGATGTAAATTACTTTAATTCAAGCAGCAAGTTGACTGGTCCAAAACTTGAGAGAGGCCTAGCAAAGCATGATAGCTTGAAAATATGTAGTTAATTATTGTTTATAGACAAGTGATGGGGTGAATTTGCCTTTCTTGAGAGTTAATAGTCTTATGTTCCATTTTATATGACACATACTTTTTGGAGAACCAAAGACTTTTAAATAAATTTTTCTTAAATGCACTCTGAAACATTCTAGGCTCAAAAGGTGTCCTCATACTTCTGATGTAATTTATAATGATACAATATTATACTTGTTTGTCCTTGGTAATCTAAATCGTGTCACTCTATTGTTGTGGAGGGATCACTTGTTGTGCCAGTCAAACATAAGGGTTGTATATAGTTTGGTATGAGATGAATCTTTATTCTCTAGAGGAAACTTTATCCTGTTTGTTGGGTTTCTTAATTGTTATCTATCACCTTGCTTCATATGGCCTTAACACCCTCATTTACATTTGAACTGATTCTTAGCTTGCAGCTACTAAATTGCCTAACAATATTTTGTTCTCTTTTTCATATAATGAGTAAATAATTTATTAGAAAGATACATTCAAGGATGCAGTCTGTATTACTACCAGTATAACTTACCACTTTCGCACGACCCTCCTCCCTGCCCATATTTTTTGTGTATTCATGATCATGTGAAACTTAACAATTACAGTGTTGATTGCCAGCTATTAAAATTTCCCCGTACTCTTTTCATTTGAACAGATTTTTTTTTGTTATCGAGGCCAACCCATCATGACTTGCCACTTTATGATGGTCTTATTGAATGTAGGAAAGGATTTTATGCAAGTTGAAGCACTAGAATGACCATTACCCTTTTATTTTCTCTAGTTGATAATTCATTTGCTTTTTATTCTTGTTGAGAACTCTATTGATTACTTTGGTTCTCTATCCTGTTTTCAATTTCAATATTTCAAACATGAACTAGTCCAAATAGCTGGTTACTTGGTGCAGATCAAACTCTACTCAATTATGAAGCTAATAAACTTCAGAGCGTTGTAAAGGAGAAGTCTTTATGGATATCAGATCAAGGAGTTCTTGCTGATACGATTAGTCCAGGTGTCCTCAGATCAATGGTGACCTTAAGTGACAAACCAAAGTAAGTTTTGATGTCTGCATTACCCTTCTAAACTGTCTTCTTTCAAATTATTTTTTTGCCTTGATGTATATACTTCTTTTTGACCATTCAGGATTGCGCAGAATGAATGATCAACTTCACTAATAATTGCATATGGTGGGTAAATCCTTGTACTTCCTACCTCTTACACATGTGCACATTCGTAGCTTAAACACCAGCATCTCTGTATTAAGGGAGTATCCATCCACTTGTAGCATTTGCATCCGTCAAGAAACAAGTTGTAGTGTGAAGGTGGTGAATTTATCTTTCTTTGTTGATTAATCAGTAACTCACAGCATATAGCATGAGAGACTCTTTAGGTGCTTTCAGTTGTTGAATAATTTGAAACTGTAAGAATCAATATTATTGACGGCAGAGTTAGTGTGTAGCTAGCTTAAAGAAATCTTGAGTGGAGGTTAGTCAGTTTAGTTTACCTTCCTAAAGTAAATTTGACTTGTAAACCTGAAGGTGTATGCACCCGTATGACATGAGAGTTGTTTGTGAACAAGCTATTAGCAACATTTGAAAATCAACCAGTATTCATATTTTTACTTCATCCCATGTTGTGGAGGAAATTTGTTTATTTCGGATAACATGATTAAGCTTCCTCGTTACTGTCAAGTTTTGAATCAATATGTTTCTGTAAATAGTTTCTTCCCTTTTGCTCTCAGTGTGATGGCACATACTTCTTCCGATGATTATCTACTGTCTACACCGCAAACTAATCAGAAGTGCTTACTGGTTTTACAGCCTGTGCTAACAGGAACGGAACTGCTGGATTGTTTCTTCACTTCGCCAGATTCCTTTTCGAAAAAACTGAAGTTATTGCAGATTTGGGTGATTCATGATCAAATTACCAGAAAGGATACAAATTATATTCTCTTAGTTCTGTTAATAACATTAGAATCAATCTTCACAGTAACTTTAATGTGTGTGCCACAGTTGAGAGTAAAAATGGACTAGTGTGTACTGACTGATAGAATGAAGGGACCTCCTATATTACATACGTGGGGGGGAAAAAAATACGAATTTCTGAACTGCTTCAGAAAGGGGAGAATTATATTTCTTTTTTAAACAGCATTGGTATGACTTGGTCTCAGAGAAAATGGTCAACTGTGTCATAATGTTGGAGGGGACCTCCATTGGAGATAAGTTCATCTATAAATGCACCCAAGGAAGTAGTTTTACAACAAATTCTTAAAAGGTAAGTTTATAAGTTGGTTAAACTTATTCATTACTAGCATTCAAGGTGTCAAAATGAGCTCAAATATAGGTTGGGTTCAAGATAATTTGAATGAGTTCAATCTCAACTCATTCAAGCCTTAATTCATTTTTAAAGAATCTTGAATTGAGCTTGATTTAATCCCTTATTTCAACCTGATAGACTCTTTATTTGCGTTAGTGTAATGCATGTTTTCATATTGAAGGTATGAATTACTATCTATTTTATATCTTCTAGGATTTAAATATCCATTTGCAACTTATTTTTGTTGTTTTCTTGAGTTGAAATTAGTGGTTATAAAAGTTAAATAACAGTATGTTAAAATTATTGAGATTAAACAGGTCAAATTGGATGGGTCATGACCCAACTCGATTTTTAGTCCATTTGAGCTCAACTCGTTTCAACCCAATGTAAATCTAGGCGGATCACGATCCAAGCTGATTTTTATTTCAACCTAATTTAATATCTTCAATCTCTACTTTGCTCATTTGACACCGGTACTATCATCTTTTGGCTTATATTCGCGTTTGGTAAACACTTGTGTGCTTATGAACAAAAGTCTAAGGTTGGTTATTACTAACATGTTTTTTAGCTTATAAAAATATTTTTAGTTTGATCAAAATACTTACAAAAAAAAGTAACTATAATTTTCAATATATTAACGTTTGAATAGAAAATAGTCTGACAAAGGAAGGTGCAATAATAATGACACCATTGTTGATGTGATTCACATGGCTCTACAAGTTTTATGAGACGACAAAATTAGATCATAGGACCACAAAACCATAAAAGTGAGCACACTTTTCATCTTCCAAAAGTGAATGATTGAATTTGTGTGTTGTATTTTTCTTGGCAACTTCTCTAGTGAGTATTACTTTTTGTTTCATGGCTAGCACCAACCTTTGTTGTCTCTGCAAACACATTATTATTCTTTGTTACAACCTTTTAAGTCCTATGATTCAATTCATCTGAAAATCTTTGGAGGATTAGTTATGCTATCTTATTGTTTTAATCTCGAACTATATATACATGTACAATAATAAAAATGTATACATATTATTCAATTAGATATCTAGAATCGTTATTTCAAGAGAATGAAATAGTAAAATGAAGATGTTACTCGTAGAATCAAAATCGGATTGTTGAAATGGAGAAGTGCTATCGAGGTGACAAGGATACTGACCAAAGTGAAAGTAGACCAGCCATGTTTTATATGGTAGTTAATGTTGAGTTTGCGGATGCTAAAACTAATGTGCGGTAGAATAAACTAGAAATGACCACATTCGCTAGAAAGTGCATGTAGCATACGTTGATGATAAAATGCAAGAAGGTCGATTAGGTTGAAAAGGTTTGGACATATTCTGTGTGGGCCTATATATAATCGCTTTGGTTCGTAGGTGTGGAACTATATATGGTAAGTGAAGGGGTTAAAAGAGGACGAGGTAGATTTAAAATTACATCAGAGGAAATGAACTTAAAAGACCTTCAAATGCTTGGTATTAATACCGACTTGGTTAAGAATATGGCATAATTGAAGAAAAAGATACATATAAGTGATAGCTACTAGTTGAGGATATGATTTGGACTCAAACGAAACTTTTTAAAAAAATTATTATTATTATCCTTTTAGTATATGTATTTTAAACTTAGTATTTTTTTCAATTTTGTTTTATTAATTATGATATTGATATGATATGAGTTTGAATTTTAAAAAAATGAAGATTCATATAGCCGATTTTAACTTAGAACTAAGTCATAATTATCGTTGTTTCTATTTGCTCATTTGAATTTATTAATTCTAAATCTTGAATTCAACTTTTAAGTAGTGGTGGATTAAATTTTTTTCATTTTTTTTTCCTGAGTATTTGGTGAACTTGCAAGTAGATATTTGGGTATTGGAGGGGGGTGGGGGGAGAGGGGGGCCTGGTAGACTCTGCATGTACTCCCAATAATTTGAAATGTAATTAGTGTTATTTTTTAGCTATCATTAAGAGTTGTGAGATGATGACAAGACACTAAATTAAAGAAACAACGCGTTTGGTTTTTGCTGTGATGATTATGGAAAATTTGCAGCTACACTTTTTAATTGCCAGTAAGTAGTTGGTGAGCCGTTGCTTTTTTTATCACCTTATCATCCAAACATGTTTTTCTATTTTGTATGTTCAACATCAACCCTACGTAACTGGTAAAGTTATTGTCACGTGATTAAAAGGTTATGAGTTCAAGCTGTGAAAACCATCTCTTATAGAAATACATAATAAGTTTGCATAAAATAGTTTCTTGTAGTCTGATTCTTATGATAGCGAAAGTTTTAGTGCACTGGCCTATGGCCCCATGCCCTTTTTTAACATTCACCATGACTTGGAACAAGAACAACCACAATATTAAATTGAAAAAAATTCATCATAATTAGATTTTAGATATTTGGAGTGTCAGGTTCATGGATTTTTAATGAAAAAAATAATCAAATTCAAGCATGTGTTACAAAAAATTAAAAATGCTTTCCACAAAGTTTTCAGTGTCAGTGAGATTTTGTATGTCTCTTTTGTTTGCACATCTAAGCAATGGATACCAATATGGTCCATGGCACTTGGAGCTTAGGTAATTGAGAGCTACTTGAGAGCTGGCTAGGGGGCCATGTTCACTGGTCCCGCTCTTTTAAAATCCAGTTATCAACATATAAAATTATCGTTCTAAAAATTAGAACACGTAAAATCGAAATTCAATCAAATTTAAATTTATCGTAATTTCATTTATGTTTTTTTTGTGTGTGTGATTGGAAATCGGAATAGATTAATGTATGTTCTTTTATTTATTTTTTTGTTGGTTGGAATTGGTTCATTTTTGTTACATCGTCTTCATTGTATATAATTTAAGTAAGAGCAACAATATTATTCAAATAAAATGAATTAATTAATAATGTATGACATACTAAAAGAGTTGGCGTATGATGAAATTATTGTTTGTAAAGTTAAGTATCTTGATAAATTAATGATGTTAGATAAATGTAACAATAAAGTTCAAATCCTTATACTCTTCAGAAATATCATTTACACCAAACTATAATTTCTTAAAGGGCTCATGATTTATTATGCAAGCAATGAGCCTACCACTTTCTATTTATTAATTTCTTATTTTCCCTCTTTTCTACTTCCAAGATACATCACTCGTATGTTCCTTACTCATTTTAATACATATGACATGCAAAAATTAAACTATTTTAACAAGAGCGACTCAACGAAATTAATTATTTAAAATTAAATCTATATTATTTAAACTTCTTTTACCTCAATTTATGGGATGTCTTTTTGTTTTAATAGTCTGCTCCCAAAAAAAGTTACTTTTTTCACAATTAGAATAACTTGATTTTAAATTATTATTTTTGTGCTTAATAATAAATGATTTATAATCCTACAAATATTTAAATTTTGAAAGGTAACAAGTTTTAGAAAATACTAACTAAACTATATATCAAATCAAATATATAATATAAATTAGACTGACTGAACGTATTAAACGACTGACATATGTGAGATGAAATAAATGTGTGTCCCCAAAAATTAATCTATTTTGACAAGAGCAACCTAGTGATATTGATTGCTTAAAATCAAATTCGTAAATTATTCAAGTTTTCTTTATCTCAATTTATGCGAACATTTTAATTTTAGTCTGCTACAGAAAATGCTACCTTTTCATAACTAAAATAAGTTTACTAACAAATATTTAAAAAGACCAGAATGGTTTTTAGAAACAATAATTAAATTTTATATCTAAATCAAATAATATAACGTAAAGTATTATACGGATATATGTGAGATGAAATAAATGTGTGTCCCCAAAAATACTGGAAACTGAAGCATTACTATTGTGACATTATCTGACTTCCGTAGACTTAATGAGTCAACGCTGTCGCAAGCCTCTTTTTCAAACTTAATAATGCAATAAATTAACTTTGATGCCACAATTATTTTTCAATAAATAATTGTAACAAAAAAAGAAAATGAGGAAATTCTCCTCTTTAAAATAAGTGAGTGAACTTATGATTGATTTTAATTAAAAATAAAATTGACTGCAAAAATATACTCTGACCAAAACGCCAAATAGGCAAATACCAAAAAAGCTAAAATGGCTATTTGGGTTATTCATCTTTTTCCTACTCACAGCTCCTACCTGACTTTCAGAGATATAGTAGTATTATTTTGTTTTTCTCCATTTTAATAATTAAAATTTTACATAAATCTCCTAGTGGTAAGAGCTAATTACATTATATTTAATTACAAAAATCTCTTAAATTTGATGGAATCCGGATACATCTCAAAACGTTATGATACATCGCATCGCGATTTCGGACACATCCTTCAACATCTCGATACATCGCGTTTCAATTTGGATTACATCACTCAACGTCTCGATACATCCTGTACGTTCTGATGTATCCGAGAATAGGAATTTTTGTAAATTTTTTCAAATGATAGAAAATTTTTAAAAATATAATAAAATAACTTGTGTATTTAAATTATTATTTTCTTAATTTATTTATCTGATTCAAACTTAACACGTAATTTATAAAAACAAATAAGAATTCAAATCATATGATCTTAAATTAAAATATACTAAAATATTATGTAATCTTACCATCTTATACATGCTACATAAAAAGTTAGATTTATAAGTTACTAAAAAAATGTAAATCAAACTAAAATAAATAAATAACACAAATAAATTGATATGAAAGAAATAGTTTTTGTTCTATATTCTAAACATAGTTTAATTAATTTAGATTTGTGCTAAAACCCACTATGGGTACTTTCATATTACTTCAAAATGAGAACTTGTAAATTGAAGTGTTTAATTTTTATGCACCGAGTGATATTATGTTTGCATTATTCCCGCAACATTAATAAAGTTGAATGT